GACAGACAACTCGTTGATTTTATTTCTTCATACCTCAAGGGAAGACTGCAATACGTTGAGTTGAATGGCTTTAAATCTTTTTTATTCGAAGCTACAAGTGGGGCTCCACAGGGAAGTAATCTTGCTCCCCTGCTATTTTCGCTATTTATCAACGATATTGTTTCTGTTCTCAAATGTAATACACTTTTATTTGCCGATGATCTAAAAATATTTAAAATCATCACTTGCAATGACGATTGCCATCAGATGCAAGATGATTTATTTGCCCTTGATCAATGGTGCAATGAAAACAGACTACCTCTTAATGTAAAAAAATGTAAGGTTGTGTCATACTCCTTAAAGCATGATTTTTTTATCTATAACACACATGTGGAAAAACATGAAAAATGCATTTTTGGAAATGAAGTTAGGTACATCTTGTGTGCACGCGCAATAACGCAAATAAATACTTTCTTTCATTCGTAACAGCCAGCTTTAACATCTTCTGTTATCGATTCTCTCAATCATACCGATACGACACCTACTGTTATTTCATGTGTTATCTATTCTCTGTTACCGTAACATAACAGATTCGTGTTAAAATTAACGTATACGTTCAATCATAGGACCCACAGACAGGAGTAGTTGATTTACAGAGAGAAGCAGTGCCTCTCCTTTTTCTGAGACACAATTCTTTGAATTTTTCTTCTTTATTTGTATCTTGTTAATATTTGAGTTTAGAATTGTTTTATGGATTATTGTGTTCGTTAGATAGTATTTTACTTAAAATATTGATTAAATTTTGTGAAAATCACAAAATTATATAGTTCCATTCTTTTTTTTTATAGATTCCCATACGTAATGACATCATTCTATTGATTCAAAGAAGTCGGATGATACCACAACATACAACGAATCCAATAAATTGCTTTTTTATTGAGGTTTAAATTGGTTCTAGCAAGTATAAGGGCTTTTAAATAGGTTATTTCCAATAAAACTTTTTAATTATATAAATTTGGAAATGTCATCGTAGTCAATCTAAAAATAATATCACGCTCTTTAAAATAGGATACCGAGAGATAAAAAAAATAATAATTTAGTTGTAAAATGTAAATGCATTTAATCTATAATCATAGAATATCTAAAGGCTAATTTCATTTCGAAACGGTTTTTTTTTTCGAGCCATTACCCTATCGAATTATTCGTCATTTGTTTAGTGTCTACAGATTGTTTATAAAATAGTATTCTTAACTTATACAGCATGTAGCATATGCACATCAAAATAAGTCAAAATTTGTATGTAAGCTAGGGTCAAAACCCTACTACAGTGTGCCAAAAGTTAACTTCTGAAACTTTTTATAATAAATTAATGAAAATTTTCAACAACAGTTGTTAGGCAGATATCTTTTTAAGAAGTATTTCCCAATACTTGTGCAAAGTTGTGGATAAAAAGTGTCAAGTCGATGTAATTTATACAGATTACTCCAATGCTTTCGATTAACTCTCACATGTTATTATTGTTATTATACTACAGAGACTTCAAAAATTATCTGAGTCTGTATTTTTTTATTATCTTTAAAAATGACATAGGTATAAAACCTCAATGTCAATTTTCTGATATATGTAAATGACTTAAAGGTCCTTCTGAAAATTAAAACGATTGCATTATAATTCAAAACAACCTGGACAACATTAATATATGGTATGGAATATACAGGGTGTCTCATTAAGAATGGTACACAGAAGGACTGAAGATTCTTTAATTAAAAATAAGACAATTAAACGAAACATGCTTACTTAAATTTACTCGTTTCCGAAATACAGGGTGTTAAAGTTGAAAATTCATAAATTATTAATGGCTATAATTTTTTTATTTCTCAGTGCCATTTTACTCAATTTGGTAAACATTTTTGGTGTCATAAGATACATCTATCAGCAAAACAATCAGTTAAATAAACTTTACCAGTGGCGTACGGCACGGATAAGTAACACTTTCATCCCCTCTAAATTTTACGCCACTATCCAAAATCTTGTTTGGACTATACTTTTACATTTTTTGATGTATTTAAATAAATCATGTGACTTTTCGGCCATTTTAAAAAGTAATGAACTTACTAGTAACGCGTTACTTTTAATAACGCATTATCAAGAAGTAACGTTATAGTTTCATTATCCCCAGCTCTGGTTATAATCAGGACTTCTTGGTGCCATTCTCTGCCATTCCGCCATTTAGGAAATTGTCTCATTAAGATGATTTCTAACCACTACTGAGCAATGAGGCCGATCTCCGTCCTGCATACAATGACAATTCATTGAATTGTGAACAAAAGTAATGCACTCATAATTAATGACATTAACTAGCAACAATTATCTGACAGTCCAAACAAAGCACACGTTTCATAAATGAAATATTATTTGAAATCCCTTTCCTAAACTTTAGAATCTTCAATTTCGTTTTTCTCAAAAAGGTTTGAAATTTTCAAGTTTAAAAAGATAAAAATTATGTTTATATCATGTTTTCTGAACAAAATGTTTCGTCAAAAAAGATATGACCCAATTTAATCATCAGTAAACGCTCATGAAGCAGCCTTTGTAACAAAATATAAAATAATAATTATAGCTTTGTGTCAATTTTGATAATAATTTATATGAAAATGTTTTGAAATTATTACAAAAACAAAAGAAAAAATATTCACTCTTTAACACCCTGCATCTTTTTTTACAGCAACATTTTATTAAGACATCATATTTTGGTTCAAATAACATGCGCTTACTGTATGTACCAATGGTAATGACTCACTCTGTATACTTTGTCTTTTCTTTTTGGAGTTTTTTCACGCGGTTCTCCTGATATTTGTCTACTATGTTTATAAATGTAATTTATTTATCTATTATTATTACTGTACCTCACCCGAAGCTGTAACTGGTCTTGTACCGTTGGTTTTGACAAATAAATAAAATTAAAATATATAAATAAAAAATATATCGAATTGGAAGAAAGACATTTTTTAAAATATAATTTTTAGTACAAATTTAATTAAACCAAAAAAGTTACAAAGCGAAACATCATGTCCCACCCTATAAGAAACGCCTCTGATTTTAATAAGTTAATGTTATTTATAAATTATGTATCTAACTGACCAAATTTTCATTAATTTATTTTAAAACGTTTTGTAATAATATATAAAAAAACCCAAGTTAACTTTTGACAATCTGTACCGCGAAAAAAGCTTTTTTCGATCCACATTTGCATCCTGTAAGAGTTAGAAACACCATGTACATTGGTACTCAGTTTATTAATTATTGACGGAGAGATTACAGTACTTACATAGAAAAATTAATAAAGCTTATTTACACATGGAAATCAGCTTTTTATTTCTTTTCTTGGGAACTGTTAAAATACAGCTATGCACTTCGTTGCATAAATGATAATCGATAATCGCTATAAATATGTAATCTAGCGATTAAAACGTTCAGGAGCGTACAGAAGGGTGGGAGTTTGTATTTAGTAAGAAATATTTTCTACATTTATAGATAAAAAATGAACTCATAAGAGTATGTTTTTTAGAATAATTAAAAATATGATTCATCGATACAGTAGAAACTTTCAAAGATATAAAAGAGTCAAAATAAATGTATTTTAAGTGAAAAAGTTAATCATTTTATAAATACCTAACAAGAATATAAAATGTGTGTAAAATACTTTATAAATATTTATAACTGTCAAAAATTAATATTTTTACAGTGGTATAAAGCTTAATCGATAAAGTTTAGTGTTCCACGTTGTACGCCACAGGCAAAAACGAAATAACTTTTTTTTATCCAAAGGACCATTGCAGTTTCCTTATGGCAAATGAATTTCGGTCAAATCTCCTGAATTTTATGTTGCAGTTTTTGATCGTTGACTAGTTTTCGAGATTTGTAAAAATGGCAATTTTTGTATATTTCACATTTATATAACTTTTTACTCTCCCTAAAATATGATGCCCAAAATAAATATTTCTGTTGATGTGGTGTTGTACTTGTTTGGGATCCATTTCAATATATATTGTAAAATAGAACCAACTTTTGGCTCACCCCGTATACATGTATTTTTCATAATAATCAAGTGTCGTTTACACATACGAATATATAAATAATACATTTATTATCATTATTTTAGACGTAAAACGATTTTTTAAACATGCAATTTTTCTACTTTAATTTAAAAAATTACTCACCCTGTACAATTGTTTTCCAAAATGGTTGGTAGCGTATTTTTTTAGTCACAAGAATCCTAGAGAGCCAAACCATAACTTTTAATATTTAAACATGTCAGCAAAATTACAAGGTTTAAGTCTTAAAATATTCTTGAAAACTATGAGAATTCACAAATTCAACACCCCAATTTAAAAAATTACTCACCCTGTACAATTGTTTTCCAAAATGGTTAGTAGCGTATTTTTGTAATCACAAATATCCTAAAGAGCCAAACCATAACTTTTAATATTTATAAATATCAGCAAAATTACAAGGTTTAAATCTTAAAATATTTTTATGAGAATTCACAAGTTCAACACCCTGTATCGCAAAAACTTGTAACAGGAGAATTTTGTGCCTATGGACAATTTTAATTGGGAGGTCAAAATCTGCAGCATAATATAATACAATTTAGAAGATTCGACCCAAAGGCATTTGCCATAAAGAAACTACTTTGGCTTTTATTTTGTTGTTTCATATATTTCCCATTATTTGACAATTTAATACAAACAATCTTTGCAAAAAAACTCGGTACGTTGCCCTTTAATTAAATTCACAAAATAGCGTTTTCAAGCATACGACAATTTCACAAAGTTCATAAAAGCCAGGCTTCTAGTTTATTATTAGAAAAAGACTATCTGTTACATTCTTAAGGTCCTCAATGCTATTCCTTTAGCCATGCGCTTTTAAAATGACTAAGCAAATTTTTATCACACAAACAAAAATAAAACAATATTAAAGGCACACAAAAGCAAAAAAAAAAACGAAACGCTTATTCAAACCTCTTGATCCACTTGGATATGAATCTATTCAGTCGACGTTTTTTACCCATAATTCCAAAATTGCACTCACTCAAAAAGCCTTTTCTACACGTTCATCATTTTCGGTTGGCTCGAAACTACTGTATGCAGGACAGGACGGATCTGATTTAGAACACGCGCTAGGCTGTGGAATTCCCTTTCTGTATTTTATTTATAGCTACCCCGAGATGCATGCGTTCGAATGGCGCGGAGATTCAGACGCTACTAATCACCATTTTCGAAAAATTAGAAGAAAAAAACTAGATAAAAGTCGACGTTTTGGCAAGTCGTGCGGGGCAATGCCAGAAAATTGGTCAAGCCGAAAATAGGAAAAATGCTACGGTTTAAATTGTTTTGTAAAAAACGAGTTAGTAGTGCCAGCTAACGATTTCTATTTGGAAGAGAACTGAAAAGAAAAAAATATAAATGACGGTGAATTTAATGTACGAGGCAGGTCAAATAAAATAAAATGTAAAATAATCTTGAAACATATTATTTTTCAGATATAGAACGCCTTATAATATAATTGGAAATGTCAACATCCATATTTTCAGTTCATCATAACAGACTAATGAACGTTCTAGTGACTGAAAATGTTTTTTTACAACTCCTTACGAAAATACATCGTTCGGATATAGGATACTTCTAGCGAAAATTTCATTTCCGCCACTAGTGAGAGAAAATCCCAACTTTCGTCTCTAGTACACCAGTGGTTTACCCATTTAGTAGGGAGAGGAGTAGCTAGCGGTATAACCATGGAGGTATGGGAATAACATGTTATAAGTTAGTGAGCAGAGTCGTACAGAAAAAATAGTATATTACATTAAGAGTGTGGAAAGTGACATTTTTCACATGAGTGGAAAATATTGTCGCACGAGGCACAAGCCAAGTGCGACTATCACACGAGTGTGGAAAATTACTTTTCACACAAGTGATGTACAATATTTTTCCTACGACCACAAAATAATTTCATCAAAAAATGTAAAACCAGTTTATTATTATAATAATTAAAATGTATTTAAAAAAATAATCAACAATAATCGTATTTAATAAATTTTCATATTTTCTAAACAAAAAAATAATAAAAAAACAAAAAAAAAAAAACAAAAAAAAAATTCTGCCCGTGCAAGGATTTGAATGCGGTCGCTCGCCAGGTCTCAAATGGCAAAGTTGATAAAGTTTGATACTCTAACCATCTGAGCTAATAGGCCTTGCGTCAATTGAAGGATTTAATCGGTTATGTGTTTAGCCAGAATAAAAAGCAAACAACTTAGTTATTTTAAAATTATTTTAATAATAATTGTTGAAGAGTATTAATATGGACATTACATAGATCAAAATAGAAATGACGCGTTTGACATTTTGTGACAGCTAATGCGGAAAGTAGTATATTTGTACACGGGTGGAAAGTAAATTCTTATTCATACGCGTGTGATATAGGGCACTTTCCATAGGACTATATAGTGTGATATGTGTCTCTTTCCTAAGTGGTCGTAGGAAAAGAAAATTTTAACATCTTAACATTATTATTTACAAATTTCCAAAGAATTCGGAAAAAATGTCTAAATAAATACATATAGTTTATGTTTAACCTTCCAAATACATATAGTGTCCTGTGTTCAATACATTTCGAGGAAAAAAAAAATTGATCGATCTTCATTGAGTCTATTTGAAAAATGATATTATCAAAATAATAATTTATGTGTGGATAAAGTTAAATTAATTTATATTTTCTCATTTATAATTTTAAATAAGGACGATTTCATTCCACAAAAGTTTTTATAGTTTTATAATTTCGTTATTTTAAATGTTTTTTTCTCTTATCAAGTAATAAATAGTGAATTTTAGGCCTACATTTTAAAACATTCCCTTTGCAAGATGAATGTACTTGATACTATCCTCCTAGCACTATCTTGTTAATCTGTTTTTTTTTTGTTATTTAACTAAACAGGGTGTTTCAAAAAACATGTGCCATCACTCTCGGTGGGATTCCTTACCCAAAAATAAGACAAATCAAAATGGGACCGCACATGCATTATTTCAAAAATACAAGGTGTTAAAATTTAATTTTTTTAGGTTTTTCATAATATTTCCGATACGGCTGGCTTTATCGATTAGAATGAAATTTTAGTTGTACAATGTACCAAATGTAAACAAAAAAGCAAATATGTTAGCAATAATAACATGTAAATAGGTTTAACGAAGGTGCTCATGCGAACGAGCACTTTAAAATATTTTAACAAAAAAAAAATACGTCACTGACTTTCATTTTTTGATAACACAATTAATTAGATATTTAAATTTCTATAATAAAAATCACCGTTTTATTTCGGCTTCGTTTAGGGACAACAATTTTATCAAACTGTTAAATATCAGCTAAAAATAAAACCATAAAAAAATATAATTAGTCGAGGCAATGAAGCAGTAAAAAGGCCAAAAGTTCGGAATTTTTTAGACTAAGACGGATTGAATTCAGCGACCCAAAAAACCCCCGGGCGCTGAGTTTCTTTCGTTCCCCGCATGAATTTCGGGAGAGTCCCACGGAGATGACGTTCATCGGCGTTCCTGAGCCCCAGGTCGGCTGTGGGTCAATTTGAACATCATAATCGTGATCAGCGACCACGAAAACCCCCGGCAACTTGATTGGGCCCAGTTCTGACTCTTATTTACAAAGTTATTTAATCTTCCAAAAGCCGTCTCAAAAAATGCATTTTTTGAATGCATTTTTGACTGCAGCAATTTCCGGTTTGTATAAGATAAAAAGTAGGGGAATTTGTTTCAAAATATTTTTGTAAGCGAATGCAAAAAACCGCATTCCAATCCGTCTAAAAAATTCCGAACTTTTTTGCTTTAATGCTTCGACTAAGTATGATAGTGTCATCTTTATTGGCTTGTCATAGTTTTTAATACTGTTGATTGTTTTCCAAATTTCCTTTTAATTTTCTTTTACTGATTGAAAAAAAGCATCTGCGAACCCATGTCCATATGAACTATTTATTTAATTGGACAAGGAATCACTCAACGAGCGATGTCACATGTTTTTTGAAACATCCTGTAGACTTATTTGGGAACAGTTTTATTATTAGTCTTTCAATATTTAGCATTTATGCTTTAAGACTTATTCAATACATTTTTGTAAATGTCTTAAGGATAATAAACGCTTCATAATTTTAGCATTCATGCTTTATGACTTTTCAAATACATTTTTGTAAATATCTTATGGAAAATAAACACTTTTTAAATTTTAGTTATTTCATTTTTATTTCAGGAAGTATTCATTTAATTATAAATATTTAATTATAAATATCAAAATTAGTACGACCACTTTAAACAACCGGACTTACTTAAGGCGCCATGTTGTTACCATCCTAATGTCAGTTTAGTATAGGGTTGACTAGACCCAATACTTTAGGCGTTAATGCCACACGCGTAATGCTAGAAAGGAAAGGATTTTTATAAAAATGCTTGGTTTTTGAATCCGATCCCCCACCGTCACCGTTGTCCCGGTTTTCCCTTTCGCTAATCTAGCAACTCTAGTTTAGTAGCATCATTATTATTTTGAATATTTGTATGGTATGTCATCATCTTCTCTCCCTACTATAGCAGGGGTAGAAGTTGGAAAGGCTTTTGCCAGTTCTTCCACTTTATACACATAAATTGACAGGTATGCGGCGGATCTAACCGAAGTGGACATGATAAATTGGCGTACAAAATTATGTTATAGATGTTAATAACAATTTCGAGTAAATAGTTTAATAAATTGTGAATAGCTGTTGAAATTTTGTTAAATATTGATTTGAATATTATAATACAAGTTTAATAATTATTTATAGTCCATAAATATATAGGATTGTCCTGTTCCGCCGGTAACAATTTAAAATTACTTATTCTATGAAACGACACTGGCAGGTAAACATTACTGCGAAATTCTCGAAGCCGTCCGACGTGGTTTGACGTTTACCCCCTCTCTACCACTCCCGTATCGGAGACAACACTAATAATTTGTAATTGCTGTGGTATGAGGTGTTTGCGTGAATACTTCTTGTTTGTTTTCTTTTACGCCGTGACTAGCAGTAGTATTTTATAAACTTGAGAAGCAAATTTCACATACATGAACAAATAATAATAATACCGTGACAACAAGATGACGAAGTAACGACTTCTCGTAGGGTGGCGGCGAAGCCGCCACCATAAAATTTCAATCCATACCTGGCTACGCCGACCGGCATAAACACCAACGGCGTGGACACAGCTCATCTACTCTGTCAAAAGGAGACTGATGTACAAATAAAACGCGTACGACATGCGCACTACAAATGATTAGTGTTGTCCTCGATACGCGAGTCTCTCTACCTACCAAAAGCCTTTCCAACTTCTACTTGTGCTAGAAGTCGATGGATATACCCTCGGGCTCAAGGTCATGTTGAATTTTTCTCCGCACTTATGATCGAAGCAATCCTAGATCAAATTTAGGTTGGTATAATAATTATAACAGTCGGTGTAAATGTCAAAGTTGACAATAATAATTAGGCATTCCAACGACCTGTCCAAATGGCTACCAGTGGGTAATGACAGTTTAGATATGGCAACCCTGTTGTCATGTTGTCATTAACAGGGTCAATGATACATATATAGTTATATAGATTGCTCAAAGCTGGTCGTTTACGAGCGGCCATATTGCCTGGCAAATATTTATTAATTTGAATCGGTTTAGCAAAAATGTGTTTTAAAACCAATTTTTAGCCTTTAGATATTTAAAAAAAAATAATTGCTTACATTTTTACTTCAAGGCATACGCTTATGTTTATTTTGAAAAATATGGATAATCAATCTATGTAACTATCTATTTCATTGACCTTGTCAAATCACCAGGTCTACAGGGTTGCCATAATTTTGCAATATCACAACCCGTTAAAGCCCACTGGTAGGCATTCAGTTTGGAATGCCCAATAGGTTTGTTCCAACAGCAGTACAGAACCGTTCGGAATTTATATGCGCATAAGTAGTACGAAAAATAGAAGTTTAATCGTACTGCTCAAATAAAATGAAATCCGCCAACCACAGTTCATATTTGGTCACCAGACAACTTTCATTTTTTTTTTAAATAAGTGACAATTCTGTCACACTAATTGTCAGTACATCTTTTAGTTATTGAGATTAAATATAATGGGCCCGTTCACTTTCATTTTTGAATGTGAATTAATTATATATTTATAAAGATATTAAACTCTTTTGTCTGGTGGTACTTTTCCCGTTAAGATATTTTTGCTAGAAGTAAGGGAATTCCCATAAAATTCTTTCAGTGACTCATTGCGTCAGAAAATCCCTAATTCCGTTCACGTCTCGTATCGGTTATGCTTAAAGACGGCGGGGTTGTCGGAAGTATCCCTAATATAGCATTTCTGCATTTATATATGTAATTTAAATAGTAAAATTCCATTAACTTTCTAAAAATCATGAACTTATATTTTCAGATTTAAAGCTGGGAGCTTATTTTTTACTTTTTAATTAAAACAATTATTATTACTCAGGCTGAAAATTAACCAGACCATAATCAAAAAGTAGAAATTTGATTTGCAATATTTATCTGGTAAACGTGGCAACGTTGCATTTATTTCTAGAAGTGTGTGTAGACAACACTATTTAGAATTACTTACAACGTTGTCACATTTACCAGATACATTTTCTCAAATAAAATTTCGATCTGGTAATATTCAGCTTGAGTAATACTAATTTATTGTTTTTATTAAAATTTAAAAAAGGTAAAGTTCCCAGCTTTATCTGAAAATATAAACACATTATTTTAAAAAAATAATATATTTTTATCATGTAAATTTCTTTAATAAATGCAGAAGAGGAATGGTGGTGCAATGATACATCCGACAACCGCGCCCTTTTAACTATTAACCGATACGAGACCTGAAGGGAATTAGGGGTTTTCTGACGCAATGAGTCACTGAAAGAATTTTATGGGAATTCCCTTACTTCTAGCAAATATATCTTAACGGGAAAAGTACCACCAGACAAAAGAGTTTAATATCTTTATAAATATATAATTAATTCACATTCAAAAATGAAAGTGAACGGGCCCATTAAAAATGAGTTGATTCTTATGAAGAACCGATAAATAATAGCATTTCACAAGATATATTTAAAAAAATCGTAAATTATAATAAAACTATATAAAATCAATTTAATTATAAGTATTAAATATAAATAAAAAGTTAAGTGTATCGATGGAGCCGCGACTATTAAAGCGTACTTACTGTTATGCGGAAGGTCTGGATTTCAAATCTGATTGAAGACTATTTGAATAAAACATTTTTAAGTTTATTTTAGTGAGTCGTAGAAAAAATATACTGTACAACTAGAGTGGATGGTCCGTATCGACGATTGAGCCATCATGTTCACTCTTGTTGCAAGGAAATCGTAAATTTTAATAAAACTGTCTAAAACGATTCATTTATAAATGTTGAACAACAAGAATATTCTTAGTTTATTTCATAAATGTGTAAAAGTAAAATCCACTCTTTTTGCTCAAACACTATTCCAATGTAAATACGAATTATTATATTTTCCAAGAAAAGTAATTACTTCAGACGCACATACAAGTGTCGTAAAACATGAAATTAATTAATTAACCATTATCCCAAGATTTTCAAAAAAATCTCCGATGTTTAAGTAGCAGCAGTACAAAACTTACTCGA